CTTAAATAAGAGAATAAGAGTATTCTTTCTCCAACTCGTTGGCATCTTGTTGTTTCTCCAAATCTTGTTGAAGAAATTTGTTAACCACCCGATGCCTCTCTCTCCCAAACTTCTCCAAGCCTCGATCAGTATGCCATTTGGACCCACTGTTTTTTCCCGCCCCATCTTCCTCAGAGCATCTTTAACTTCCGTTGGTTGGATCCTTCTCACAAAATCACGATTTACCAAACAATCTGGTATGATCAAATCACCGATATCTTGCACTTTGTTCCTGTTGAACAATGTATCAAAGTATGACCTCCACCTCTCTTTTATCTCTCTGTCCTCCATTAATATCTTTTGATCGACATCCTTCACACACTTAACTTTTCCGATATCTTGAGTCCTGCGATCACGAAGACGAGCAAGTCTATAGATATCTTGTTCTCCTTCCTTAGAGTCCAAATTTTCATACAACTCCTTGTTCACTTTCCCTTGTAATTCCTTTACGGCTTTCTTTGCTTGTCTTCTAGCCTCCTTGTATGCTTCTATGTTCTCATCACTCCGACTTGTCCACAGCTTTTTGTAGCAATCTCTTTTGTTCCTTATGCCTTGTTTCACCTCATCATTCCACCAAGATGTGTCCTTTTTGGGTGACAGACCTCCTTTAGATTCTCCAAGTACCTCCTTTGCCACTTTGTTAATGGTCAACTCCATTGATAACCACACATCCTCCACATGTGTTCCATTATCAATACGCCATAAATCTTCATCGAACATTTTGTGTGTAAAGCTTTGTTGAAGATCCCCCTCAAGCCTCCACCACTTTATCTTTGGCTCCACTTGTTGTTTAACTTGTCTTCTATGGTTCTTACCTCGAAAGTCAAACACAAGCATCCTATGCTGAGTGACAACACTCTCACCTGGGATAACCTTACAATCGGTGTAGCTCGTTCTCCAAGTAGTCCGTACTAAGAAGTAGTCAATTTAAGTACTATTAGCTCCACTTCTATAGGTTACAAGGTGAGAGTCTCTTTTCCTAAACCAAGTGTTCATTATAGCCAACTCATACGTCGAGGCAAAATCCAAAATGTTCTTTCCCGCTTCATTTCTAGTGCCAAAACCATGTCCGCCATGAAAACTCTCAAAGCCATCACGACTCGAGCCCACATTCCCGTTGAGGTCGCCTCCTATGACCAACTTCTCTCCCCTTGGCACTCGTCGCACCACATCTTCAAGATCTTCCAAGAACTGTTGAGTTGTAGATGCATCCAATCCCACTTGTGGTGCATAGACACTTACCACGGACACAATCTCACCCCTTATCACCAATTTAATGCTTATGATGCGATCGTTCTTCCTGAAGACTTCTACCACATCCTCAACATAGTCACGCGCCACAATAATGCCGACCCCATTCCTGGTTTTATCTCTCTCCGAATACCAAAACTTAAAACTCCGGTATTAATCTCACGTGCTTTCTCTCCAACCCGTTTAGTTTCTTGCACACACACAATGCCGATATTCCTCCTACTCATAACTTCGACTACCTCGGAAGATCTGCCTGTAAGAGACCCAACATTCCACGTCCTAAAGTGCAATCTAGCACTCCACCTTCTCTTCTTAGCTCTGTCTCGGACCCCACCATGCCCTTGCATATTTGACATCATCCTCGGGCAATGGGATGATGCGCCGTTTTCGGGCGATGACCTAGCAACCTTAGCATTCTTATCACCACACCCAAGCCTATGAAGTGTAGCGCGCCCTTGGATATTTGACACCACCCCAGGCGGAGGGATGACGCGTCGCTTACGGGCGACGACCTAGCTGTAGCGATATTCATATTTCGATTCATGTCATGTGATGTGACTAGGTGATACTGTTGGCCGTCAGGCGCCTACCACAACACACTCCTCCTTTATCCTGGCTTGGGACAGGCATGAAACAAAAAAAATTGATCTCATGGCGGAGTTTCTCCCATACCTTTTTCGTACCAAAACTTTTGGTATATAAAATTTATATACCGTTACCTTATCGAAATTGTGGTATACCGCATTTCGGTATATCAAAGTTTCGGTTCGGTAACGGTACGATATCGATAAATTACCTTACATGACTCTCAATGCAATAAATTATTAGACTAACGAAATATACTAAATCGGTGTTACTAGCGACATTTAATTCATTATTAAAATGTTACTAATACAAATAATGATCTATTGATGTCATATTCGATATTGAACAATAATTATTATTAGTATATTTAAGCAGTTCAACATGCCACGTATTAAGAAAAATAACACATCTCCTAAAATAACTTAAACATTATAGATATAACTAAATCAATAGTGATCTCTAACAAAAAATAAGTTTATTCAAACATGTATATTGGAAGACTTTATTGTGATTTGGGTCTTTTGGAGTTTGGGGTGGACACGTGGATATGTAATGTGGTATACGTGGCTTTATTATACTCCGTAAAAAAAATCTTCTCACTTTGAAAGTAGGTGAGATTATGTATAGTAAAAGGAGATATAAATTATTGAGAGTATATGATGGGAAGATAACGGAGTGATGTGATGGAATGAATGATAACATCAAAAAAAAAAGTTGTTAGTGTATTATTATTTAGTTACGGGTGAAAATGAAAGTGCAAAGATCTTTTTTATACAGTGGTAGTACGAACTATTCCATAAAGAAATACTACCTCCATCCCACTATGTTTGAGACAATTCGGTTTACGATGCTTGATTGACGATAAAGCAAACAGATCCCTGTCCGCACTCAAATTATTTTTAGAAAAAAATTACATATTCAGAAACTACATTAAAATTTTATAGTCGCAAAAACCAGAATCAAATTTGATAAAAGTTTTATATATAAAGTAAGAGATTAAAAGTGATTTGTGTTGACCAATTGAATAGTGTCTGGGACAATCTTATCGGAACAGAGGGAGTAGTATTTTTGAAACTATACCCAGTGTTGCTGACTAAGGAGAGAGAATTTGAAACTCCGGTGTTTTCGACCATGGAAAGGAATTTTCGTATTTTAGGAAGAACCGGAAATTCCCGCTCAATCTGATTTATTTCCTTCCAGATCAATCTGATTTTTCTGTGTGATTTGCTGATTTTTAGCTTTCCTTCTTTTGCGGTAATACTGATGCCCTAGGAATGCATCAGTTATGCTGGGCTTACACCCAGTAAGTGATATAGGTTGCGCCCAAGATATCCTCAATTTGTCTCGACTCTGTTGCATACTATTAGCTCTAATTTTAAGCATTTCAACTCCATCTAGTTGATTGAGTTCCTCAGAATGATTTTGAACATTGGCTACTAATGTTTTTTGCCTTCGCATGTGCAGATTTGTGTCTAACAAATGGTTTGGCGCCCTCATTTTCAGTGGGATATTATTTGGGAGAGTCCTTGTATAATGGTATCATTATCATCATTATTGTACTCATCTATTTGCCCAGCGCCCCAGCATGGCTTATGTAATTATATTATAATAATCGTGTGTTACAACCTCTATCTTATTTTATGTGTTTTGTTGTGGTTTGTCATAATTATTAATAGTGACCACACTATTAATAATAAAGTGAATAAAAAAGTAAAAATCGTTATTAGATTTGAGTATAATAAAGATTTGAGTATAATAAAGTGAAACGTCGTGGGTCAAAAAATTCTTTCTAAAAAAGACATGACATTATTTTAGACAATCCAAAAAGGAAATAAGATAAGTAAACTGAGACAGAATGAGTATAAAAAGTATGCATGAAAAATATAAAAGGTTAAATATGGAACTAGACTGGTATACCACACATGCGATTCCAAGTAGATAGACAGAGTCCTAGTTGGACAGGTTTCAGTATCGGACCAGCTGGTCTTAAAAAAATAGCAAGACCCAAGACTGGGATAACTTAGAGAGTTACAGTAGGTGGCATCCAGGAAATTCGTATTGGGATGACAGTTAATTAAACAAAAATATTTTTTCGGAGGTGAAAATTGTTTTTTGAGGGGGTGGAATTTTTTTCCCGTATATATATACACTAAAAAACAATGTTGGATGGTTTAGGATGTTTACTTTGCAGCACTGAAAGCAAAATGTGGCACCAAAACACAGTAAAGATTTCAAGCTGTAAAATATGTATAGTCAGTGGAGTAGATAAGATTATAAAAATCATCACTACTTATGCTCCTTACAATGGAGCATGTGTATTTCAAAATACATAGTTTTTTATAATGTTCCGTACATAATTTACAGTTTGAAATCTTTACAACGACTTGTGTCCATGGAAGAATGCTACTCTGTGTTTTGGTGCCCCTCTTGGTCTCTATTACGGTCTGCCCGTGATACAGTCTTAGAATGTTTTTACTTAACTATTTTCAATCTCAGACCATACTAGATTTGGATAGTTATAAAATACACAGAGATCGGGTATTTACTAGACTAGTTTAGAACAGAAAATTTTAGTTCAAGTAAAAACGTTCTTACATGACCTCCCATGTGCCAATTTTTATTTTTTGGTCACCAATTTCAGTGAACAGCCCCTTGCTCTTTTCTTCCATTTTTTTCAATTCTGAACTGGTTTTAATTCAATGTTAATCCGTTGGGTAAACCCGTTGGCTCAGTCTCGATCTCTTGCTGGCTCAGTCTCGATCTCTACCCAGGACCTTGGTTTTGGACTTTTGGGTAAACCTGTTGGGCGAGAAGTAGATGTTTTTTTTACTTGAAATCTTTACAGCGATTTGTGTCCATGGAAGAATGCTACTCTGTTTTGGTGCCACATTTTGCATTCAGTGCTGCAAAGTACCCCATGTCTCTTTTTGAATGAATGGCGGCTCGATAAAACTAGTGGGTTTGTAAGTTTCTTGGCTTTAACAAGTGATAGTGCAGGCTTGCAGCCTGACAACATAATTCACAAGCCGACCACCCCTGTGGCCCTGTTCCGATGACTTTAAGGATACTAACAAAGAAAATGAAGAAAATAATGGACAAAAAAGCGTGCAAAGGAACATATAAGGTGATCCAAACCAAAGTGCATATATCTTAACTGCATGTCAAACGTCATTTTTTGGCGAGGCATTTCATATGTTGAACTGAAGTTGGGGCACAAGCCCTACCTGATTCATTTTTTCTTTAAAAATAGTTTCGAACAGTTCAATATATCTACAGAGGAGAAAGCATTTCTCAGAATCCCAAGAAAGGACGCACAACTTCCCCACGCTCTATAATCACTCCACCCACAAGCATTGTCAATCGAAGAAGGTTGTCCACCTCAGGGTAGTAACACAAAGATTATCCATCTTGCTTCCACTGAGAGCCAGCATCCTATCCCCCGACTCTACAATTAAATAAGTTAGTTAATTATTTTATATAATCAATTATGAAGAAAGAGAGGCTAAGAACAAGAGCATATTAGTTATCAAGCATATTAGTTATTAATTTAAAAATCACTCGGCACAATTGTTTATATCAAACCATTCTAATTTTTATGCTTTCCCAAGATCTCAAAACTCTTGTACCCATTTCTACTTGATACACTGGGAAAAAGGTGCAAATTGAAAATTTTTCCCTCGCTACTATTCTAAACACCAGCACATTTGCATTTTTCAGAGTTTGATGGCTGCAGGGGTGGTGCCAAGTAGGAATTTAGGATGCAATCACCTCAATGTGGGGTCCATCATTTGTGAGGTGACTATTATCCTGCTTAACATGCTTGTAACAGCTTTGGGAATGGAGAGCAGATCTGGCGTGACAAATGAAATTTCTCTCCCGCTATGTCCCTAGAGGCCAAAGGTGCGAAATCACCTCCTTTTAAAAGGGTAAAACCACCAGTTTTTCTGGGAAGTCAGGCATTGGTTACACACATTTATTAATAGGGATATTACCCGAAATAGGAGTAAAAAGGTTTCAAAATTCCAAAATAGGACTGACATGTTTTTATTCCCAAAATAGGACTAATTACTGTCATGTTTTGGCAGTACCAGACTTCAAACATGGCAGTATTTTCCAAGCTTGGCAGTAATTACTCCTATTTTGGGAATAAAAAACATGGCAGTCCTATTTTGGAATTTTCAAACTGTTTTAGTCCTATTTCGGGAACTTTCCCTTATTAATATTCTAACACTTATCAAGTGAGTAAATGGCATCCAAAGACACCACACCACTTGTGGCCCTTCATTGATTCCAAATGATAGAAACAAATTACAATTGATTATTGAGTGAAGGGAACAATACTTCATTCATTAGTTATTTAAGATAATCCAGATAGTAGGAGTTTCAAATTACAATACAGTTGCCTTGTTTTATTCAAAAATTAGACTTTTTTAAGGTTGAAAAAGTTCTTGCAACAGCGAGTTCTATTGTTGAGTAATGCAAATGAGACCAGAAAGAAATTAAAACTTACCAGAACTCAGAGCTGGGCAGGATGGCATCATTTTACACACCACACTCTTAGTGCCATGACGACTGCTTGTTGTGCCTGAAGCTATCATTATCACCCCAGCCCCCATCAGGCTCCTTCCTCTTCATTATGTTACCTGCAGCTACAGGGTGCTGGTACAACGCATGATGCTCACCCGCTGACTGTAGTAACTGTTGATCATGAGCAATAGACAGTTGTCTTGAAGTGATTGAAGACTCATCCCTTACACCATGGATGATATCAATATATCCAGGCCCAGCATTCAGGTCCAAGCTCTGTTTAGCCCATTTCCCATTATTACCACTAGTACCATTGTCCGGGAGGGTGACCATGTACGGCCTGGGAAATTGATGAGCTGAGGAAGCACTGACGACGGGACCCAGCAACTGTGAATTGACTGCAGCAGTAAACAGCCTCCCACCAGGTGAGGAATTGATATAAGGAGCAGAACCTACTGGGAAACTTGTGGATGGGAGTGGAAAACTTGTCGCCCCGAAGGGAAACATGGGAATCTGGTAAGCAGCAGCAGCAGCAGGTGATGATGACAGAACTGAGCCTCGATAAATATCGAGAGGAAAGGGACTACTGGCCTGTGATGGTTGTGGTGGCGGCCCACTGACAGCTGAATATCCACAAACAGGAGTGAACCAAGAAGCATAGCTCCCTATTTCTGGATTGTTCATTCTGATGTTCCCACGGCTATTCTGTCGGAACAAAAAAGGCTGTTGTTCCGCAGTGATATCATCAGCAGCGGGGCCATTATTCAAATCAAAGTCCATTCTGACCTCACGAGACGGCGCACATTGCGATTGTAATGGTTCAACAAGTCCCTCCAATACGTTACTATTAAAAATGCTGCTTCTTAATGAACACTGGCCCACATCATTAGACTCATCATCAGCTCTGTTCAGATCAAGATTGAGACCCCCTCCTCCAGAAGGAATAGATGGAGAACTCGGTTTTTCTTTCTTTTGGTTAATAGGCAGATGGCTAATAATCTCTTGAGGAGCTGAATATCCAACTTCATCATCTTCTAAAGAACTTTCACCTGGAGCATTCAAATCAATTTCTAAACATGGACGAGTTTTATTCGCACTTGAGGGAGCAGCTTCAGCAGACTGGGATGCGCTTACTGTTGGCGTAAACACTTTTCTTGGCTCTGCCGGACGAAACGCACTTGTGGCAGCAGAACCTTTCCATCTGAACTCACCACTTTGCCTCTTGAATCTCAATAACTCCTCTGGAGGCACAAACAGGCCTTTGGCAGTAATGGCGACAGAAGTTATAGGAAATGGTAATGGGTTGACCATGTGTGTGGGAGGGTTGATTGCCTCACCGCATTTCTCATCATCTGAAACGAAACCTTCATTCAAATCGAATTTCATTTTGGAAGCAGTCTCTGTAACAGAATATCCAGCTCTTTCTTTCACAGATGGTGGTGATCCGCCAGAATCATGCTTAGCTTCAGCAAGGCCATCATTGCTGCATTCTGTTGTCAGGTTATTATTATTGTTATTATCACTATTAACCGTGGAATCCACATTAATTGAATTTTTATCTTCCAGTAATGGATCCAGTGTCGTATGCTTTGACTTCATTTTCTCACACAACTTAAGATATGAGTGGATTTCATCTTCATCACCCCCTTTATCTGCAGTTGCATCTACAGAGGATGTAGGGTGCTCTTCCTTTACAGGTAGTCTCTCATTCACTTCAGAATCCGATGTGGCTGCTGCATTTAATTTTCCCTCTTCACGTGATCCCTTTTGGTCACCTAAGCTTACATTGTTACCTTCTAACAAAGTGTCAGTGCCCATTTTAGCACCAGAGTAAACCCCCTTGTTGCCTCCTTCAAAAGACCTTTTATCTGATTCACCATCATTCTCATTCATCTCCAGTTTACATTCTCCACGATATTTTCCTGCATCAACATGCTGCTGCTTATTACCATGTCGCTGTTTGCAGTCGCTTGTGATCCTTTCACAGGGTCGGGGTTGTGATCTGAAATCGTCAGTATCCATACAAGTTTCCTCAACCACGGGGGAATTTCTTTGCGAGGAAACAGATGGCGAATACAAATCAGATTTAGACATTTGTTCAGTAGCCACGCTGGCAAGCAGGTTCATCCCACTAGCATCACCCACTGACATGGATGCATTTGATTCAGAGTACTTAATACAGCTCTCAATTAAAACATTCATGGAGTCGAAAGAAACATTTTGATTTTTTCCAGAAAATGAAGGAACCGTCTTTGAGACGCCACCACCTTTCCTGTCATCCTCCCGATCATCATCTTCTGCAAGTTGAGTAGGTGATCCATCACCTTCATCAGATCCGGTTAAGATATCTTTGAGATCATTACTCTGCCAAGACTCTGCATTGACATCAGATATTATATTATTATTATTATTAGATCGATACAGGTCATCACTGTTTGCCTTCACATTTTGGTCAGGTTGGACATGTTTCTCCGAAACCACAGGGGAAGAAGCTTGGCTATTCACAATATTAGGTTCCTCCTCGCAAGACCCTCCACTCACACTATGTGCAGGACTTTGGATTCTATTATTAGGTATCTTAACAATCACCTTCTGATCTCCCCTTTCAACAACAGACAAGTCAGTAGATTTATCACCAACAACCACAGACTGTGATACTCTTTCAGGGTTGGAATGTCTGCTTCTTTCTTTTAGGCCTTCCGACAGAGACGTTCCTGGAAACCCATTGATTGTCTTGCGGTGGCGGGAACTGCTATTTGAGACCTTATTGCTACTCATCGACCCTGCAGTGGAACTCCTTGCATCCTCTTTTCCTGAAAAAGATGGACTGTGATTATGAGACTGGCTAGAACTGCTGCTCTTATCCTCCCTCATCAATACTACAGGAGGAACATCAACATGTGAAGCACCACCACATAATGAAGAAACCCTAGCTTGACCATCTTTAACCGGTACAGGAGAAGAGGATGCCGATTTTGCAGTAGTGGTTTCCACTTGTAAAGTCTTTACTGAGACAGTTCTAGAGGATAGTTGTGTCGTCACTGAGCTCTTTGGAGTGAAATCATTGGAAAACCCTGGATTACTCTTATTTGCACTGTGAGAAGTCTCCTGAATCCGGGATTTGGAAGGCCATGAGACGCCTTGGGTTGACTTATTATTAGCATCTATCATATTCATTTCAATTTCAACGCGTTTCTTCCATGTATCCACTAAGCTCCGAGCTTTCTTCTGGATGTCCATGTTCTTGTGTGAGCGTAAATGATTAACAGATTTGCCAATATTGCACATCTTTAGTGCTTCGAGATTCACAGGGAGCTTATCAAGTGCACGGAGCAAAACTAGAAGAAGCTCATCCCATCGTTTATCACCACCATCCTTTGGGTTGCCATCGCTGATCCTACTACCTTTATGGATGTCTTGAAGCCATTCGTCCAATACAAGCAACCCCCTCAGCTGCACAAACCGGTTAAGGCATTCAAACCTGTCCGTTGAAGCAACCACTCCAGCAAGGAGCGACCGACAGACCGAATCCATTTTCCTCTCCCCTCCTTTATCTGCTTGCATAAACTGAATAAGCTTGTCGACACCATCAGAGTCCACAAGCCCTCCTCCTCTTTCGGTTATTTTTACTATTTCAGATTTAATAGCACTTCCGGTCTTGTACAAATTACTACTATCATCTTGTTTGAAAGAGCGCTCTCGCTTCACCGAATTGTTATCATCTCCTCGTTCCCTTTTCTTTCCCTTACCTTGTGAAGGATATGATGTCGCTGTATTCTGCACATTTTCTGAACCAGATTTTGACTGCAGTGTGGGAATCAAGGCATTTACTGGTTTTGGAGAACGGCCACCAGGTTGCAATGATGTGTGCATCTCTACTTGTGTCTTGTATAAGAGTTGACCTACTTCTTCTTGTAGCTCCTAAAAGATTTGAATAAGCACTTCATTATAAAATACATAGGGAGGAAAAAAGAAAGGAAATGAGCTAGCTAAAGAAAAGTGAAGCAATTGCAAATTTCCCGTCCTCACTCTTCCTCCTCCCCCCTAATTTAACAACTCAAGCCTATCATGACCGACACTCTCATTCCAAACAGGGTTGTAAATCTCTTTCCCTGCATTTATTTCCCCCATACCTATTCAAAACAAGTGTGTAACTTAATCGGAAAAATGATGAGCTCTCAAGCAATTAGGAACTAACATCAATATAATCTTGATCAGTTAGCCAACATAAACACTTGTTTGCAATGTCATAAACTCGCCGGCAAACAAATGAAGATATCCCTGTTGGAAGTTCAACACCTTTAGGAAGGAAAGCAACTTTACACGGATGGAGTAACGAAGCAGCACATATCTCATCCCTATGAAAGGAATAAAAAACTTCGTTTGGCGAGGCTTCTGAAGGAATGCCTTTCCCTAGCTTCAGCTCAGCTGGTCGGTAAAGCCAATTAACACCTAAATGCAAGTTATTATTGCCTTCATTTGAGATTAAGCAGCGGATAATTCCAATGAAAGGTGGGGAGTCATGCGGCGGTTTGAAAAGAGCACAATCACCAACACAGATCTTGCGATCCTCCTGCAGGTTGAAAAGGGTTAATACCGATCATTTCATATATTAGTGAAAGTGATACAACATACATGTATAAAAATAGGATATATGGTAATAAACATGATAATTTGTTACGGGGTATGCCGTTGAGGCATTGGCTTCATATCAAAATGTTTTATATAAAAAAAAAACTCACATTTGTTGATGATCCAGATCTTAATACTCAATTTAAAAAACAAGTAAAAGGATGAGGCAATTGAAAACCCCCAGATGTTACAAGCCCACAAAAAAATCTATGCAGTGCTCTACATTAGTGCACTAAATATGAACCACTACGATCATTGAAAGGAAAGCTCCAGCTATTGTGCAGAGAAATGAAAACAGACAAATGACGGATACGATACCCATACTGTATTTCAAAATCATTAAACCTGTATAATTAATTTTTAAAAGAACGCATACAATCAATCATTCAATTTGCAGTTTCAAACATATTAGACGAACTATCAATTTCCGTGCAAGATAAGGCAACAATTTTTCTTCAAAAACAAAAGATGAGGTGAATAGATGAAATGTGAGATCAATAGCAGCACATCAACTTTTTAAGGAAGAGGCAGAAGAACACGATCTGTGAGATTAACCAAAAAGAAAAAATGTAACTGGCAAAAGAAGATGACAGGGTCGAGTCTGTAGAAATTGAGTAAGAAAATAACTAAGATCACACCAAAGCAATACCTTGCAGAACGAATCAGCAGTAATGGACGAATCACAGGAGGCTACAGTCCTCTTGGTCGTAGCCTGCATGTGTTGAGCAAAACTCTTCCTTCGACACGGCTCACCCCGCTGTTCCCACCCACGCATAATAAGAATTCTCTCGCATCTTCCCCTAGTCTCGCTCCACCTGCTCGACTTACCCACTCGCCCTGAAACATCAAGAGCCTAATTCCCAGTCAACCCCTAATCGAAACCCCAGGAAAATCGCCGAATTTCCACTTAAACGAGAAAAAAAACCTAGAACCCCCAACTCTCACCTAGCAGAAGAAGCTTAGATAAGCCCCAGATCCTAGGAAACCCTAGCTTGTCCGGCTCAATTCCAGCTCAGAAACTAAAGTTCTCCGATCTGTACCATGGAAATTCCAATTGAAATTTTCCAGATCCAATCAATTCATTCGAAACAAATCCACAACAACACGAAACTCTAACTGACCATTAGCTTCAAATCGAGTGACACATACCTTCGAGATCGTTCGAACTGGGAAACGAAAAGCCCTTGTGGAGAACAGACAGGGTCGAAATGGAGAAAGACAGGGTACAAGTTAAGAAAATTTATGTATATCAATAAGAATTTCTCCTGTTTACTTAGGAATAATATTAAGATGATATATGTATAGAGATGTCGCGGGGCAAAGGGGTGATATAGAGAAAGCGAAATCGGGCAGCTTCGGGTAGATTGATGCAGATCGGGCAGGGAGAGATAGCATCACCCACGGATGACTCAGGTCGAAAATGACTGAACTCGATCGGACTTTGTATTTATTTGCGATTGGGTCTCCTAAAAAGTTAATATTGCCCCAACCAGACCCAAAACTTCGCAATCCAGTAAAGGCTATAGAGCAAATCCGGCCGAGCCCATCGAGGTCGAGCCCAAAACCAATTCTCATATCATCATCAACATAAACTCAAAACTACAGTCGAGCCCGATTCTCGGCCAAGGTTGGAGTCAATTCTGGTATAACAGCCGAGCCCGATTTTCGGCCGAGGTTGGAGTAAATTCTTGTATAACAACCGAGTCCAAGGCCAAATCTACATCAGATTCCCGAAATCGATAAGAACAATGCCAATGACTGCTTAGACCGAGCTCATTACACCCGAGCATGCAGGTCTCGTCATTTCTAGACTTAACATCATTCGAGATGAGCTCCATCACATGGGTGAGCTTCCGAATTTCTGAGCTTAGCGTTCATATATGAGCTAGGCACTTCTACACCTAGGTCGAGCCAAGCTCAAGACCTCAGATTGACATTGTGGACTTGGAGTCATTTTGACACTAAGCCACTAATATCCCGCGCACCCGAAAACAAACATCACCAAATGAACAATTAACTTTAGGGCTGACATCACTCATTCTATTACAACAACCAGTTGTCAAGCTTCCACATGTGGTTTATCCAGCTATTCTGTTGGCAAGGGAAATCATACGTACAGTCGGTACAAATCAATCAAGCATGATATTCTTTCGCCAATTAGCCCTACATGGCTACATGTGGCACGTCTATATTAGATTAGTTATTTTAGTTATTCCCCAAGTATTTCATATTAAATTATATATATATATATATATATCACCTAGGTTTATTACCTTTTTTTAGAAGAAGAAGTCTACGGTTTGCAGATAGGTCAAGCCGCAGGTGTCGTTTTTGAAGCTGAATTGGGAGGTGTTTAGACAGAATGGAAAGTCATCGGCCGGCTTCTTGTTGAGGGACCACTCTGTAGCTGCGGTGGCAGCACAAGGGTTTCCGCTTGGTGGATCGACGGAAGTGGAAAGAGAGGCCTTCAGGCATGCGATGAAATGGTTGGAGTGTTTTCAGATTAGGCACCTGGAAATTGATGTCCCCTGTCCGAATCTGCTAGATTTTTGCAGAGTATGCGCTTCAGCTGGGTTGGGCTCCTGCATGGTTGTGTATTCCGGCCCAATGTAATAGAGCTGCTTGGTGGGTTGCAAAAATGGGCTGTGGTGGCCTTTTTTCTTGGAGGAAGGGAGAATCTTTACCAAATGGGTTAAATGGAGCAATCAAGCTGGATATTAATACCCCGTATGTTTGCTATTAATTTCTGTTCTTTTGTTATTTTTTCAGACTGGTGGAAAAAAGCCAGTCTGAATATATATTACCCCGTATGTAATATATATATATATATATATATATATATATATATATATATATATATTACCAGATTAAAAAGCCACCATAAAAAACGATATTACATGATGAGAGGGGGACTATACCGAAACCTCTCCAAAGGGCATCCCCTTTCCACCAGTGTTGGTCCCAGTTTAGCAGACTAACGATTAGCTAGATGAACATCATCGATAGACAGAAGAGAAGAATTTCATATAATGATATTAGATTTATCGAGAACAGTGAAACCTTCTTTCTGTAGTATCGAGAAGTAAATTTTGCAGCGTAAGGCTAATGTGTATTGATCGATATCGGTACCTGTACACAAGGCGCGTATTTATAGGCGCTGTACAGGTTACCGATTTAGGTAAACCTTGGAAGTTGGGCCAAGGCCTTTTTGGGCCTTATTCCCTTTACCTTATTTGCTACATAATAAATACTAATCTAATACCATAAATGGTATAACTAGTCTACTTTATTTAAACAAGACATTACAGACAAACTTGACCCACAATAAAAGTTCTAACAATCTCCCCCTTTGTGGTCAAGTGCCGTCTTGCTGGGTTTCTTCACTTCTGAGCTTTGTAATAGTTCTTTCTGAGGTTCAGCGCGTGCTCATAGCTCCTGAGTGAATTTCTTTTATCAAGTTGTTTCTGGATAGCCTGTAGAATTCTGTCTATCCTGTGTGCTTCCTTTAATTCGGCATCTGTCGCATCTGCATACTGTTGCTGTCTTTCTTTGAATGCTTCTCTGATCGGTTGCAGCTTTTCCTTCACAATCTTCAGGGTTCCGTCACAGTACTTGTTGATTTCATCAATGAATAGCATACGTTTCTCACCATTATGATTTAGATAGATAAGCGTGATTGGTCTATCAAAAATGTAATACTCAGGGAAGTCCTCAAGTTCTTGTCCATACAGCTTTGGTTTTGTGAGATTTGTCTTCGGCATGTTTGTTTCAAGCGCCATCTGAAGATCATGAGAGGCAAAGAATTTGATTTGTCTGAGCATAAAGCGCTTGAGTGCATCCAGCCCATTTTGTGTAGTTGTGTCACGAGTGCCTGGAATTTCTTGAAATGCAAGATACATCTGATATATGTCATCCATTTTTAGCATATAGAGATCATTTTCCTTGCACGTGAATTCTGTTCCGTCAGACCGTTGTAGATGGTAAACAGAGAGTTTGATGTCTTGGGAGTTTGTTTCACCCACGTTGAGTATAGCCCAGACTGGGTCTTTGGCAGTTTGAAGTTCGTGCTGCCAAACTTCTCTCTGTTGTCCCATATAGTGATGACTGAGTAGAAATAGCTGTCCGCCCTTGTTTTGTCCTCGTAGATGGTTAAGACCACAGATCTTCAGTTCATCCAGTTCTCTGACCTTATCCTCTTTTCGCCAGATGTTTTCTCTGATTTCTTCTTGAAAGGGGGCGTTGATGTCGATCTTTTCCCAGGGCTTCTCATTTCTGGGCATTTGAGCCGCTGTTTGTCTAATGATTGACTCAAGCTCCTTGGGTGGTGTCTCGTAGTTTTCTCCCTCCTTGAGTTCGTTTCGATCAAGTAGAATCACGTCAGTAGCGCAGTTGACTAAGAGATCTCTGAGGTATGTTCTTCGCTGAGCTTCATCTACATCTGTCCAGAGTTCAGACCATTTGTTATGCACCAGCATTTCCTCAAGTTCATCGTGCATTTGATCATTGTAGTAGCTGGAGGAAGCCTGTTGCTGCTGTGGAGACACGTCTGGCGTAGCATCGGGATCCTGGTGAGACTTGCAGGGATCCTCAATTATCTCAACACGATGCTCTTGCGCAGAGACCAGACCTCTATACTTTGTTACATGCGGCCAATCCTCCCTTGGTTGAGACTGGGTGACTCCGGGAACCTCAGGATTGCCCGTTGACATCAGTTTCGAACTAGGTTCTAGCTGATGGCCTGAGTAAGAAGATGTACTCGTGGTAGCATCATCAGGACTTCCATTCCGTCCTTGGTTAACATCTATAGGAGATGCACCTCGGGATGTTATGTCTAGCTCGACCATGCTAGAGAGAGTGGCTAGGGATTTATGGCTAGCTGAAGTAGTGGGTTGCTCATTGGTAGAGGTAGAGGGTTGGTTTGGCTTTGAGGGTTGGCTAGTAGAAGCAACATGCTCAAGTATCCGCTGGCGCTTGTTCTCCCCCTCATGAGAATCCGAATCATCAGGATCCTCATGTGAACGTTTAGCGCCACGGAGACTGTCACGGCAAGTGTTCTGTGTATCTAGAGCATGGAGAAGGGCTTTTTGAAGAGAGGTGAGGTTGCCTTCTTCCACGTCTAGTATACGGTCGTAGATCTCAGCTACAAGATCCTCGAAGGGTACGGTTGTTAGGTTAGGTTTGGTCGTTGTAGGGGAGAATACTAGTTCTGTATCCTGGGTTCCCCTTGATGTGGATGGTTGTTGGTTTTCTATGGTTAAGGGTTTGGAAACAGGTATGGAAATGGTTGGGGGCTGTGTTGTCTGGGGTTTGGATGGTATATTCTGAACAACTGGGGTACTTCCAGAGTCTTGTGCATTAGCGGTTATTGCTTCATGCACCCATGGCTTAATGGTAGACTCTAGAAAGCTGTTCAGATATACGAGAATGTCTTCGGGGATAATGGTACCAGTTACAGGGGTTGTAACTGTTGTCACAGCATCAGTGAAGACAGCTGATGTGTGGCCTGCGTTCAATGATCGAGGCATTGTTGGCGTAGCAGGGCTTCCGACCATCATAGTTTGCACTCCGGTCGTTGCATTCAGGGTGAGTGCACCTGTATGTGCTGTGAATAGTGTAGGTGTCCTAGAAAAATTCAAAAATGTAGGAATGGTGACACCTAGACTCGAAGTGATAGACCGGATGGGGGTAGTGGTCCGGGGCTGTTGACCACTAAGTCTCTCAGCAGATTCGGAAGGAATCAGTGAGGTCGGTGTAAGTTCCCCTTGAGATATTGAAACTCCAGTCTGTTGGGAGACTGGAGAGTGGATGGGAGATGGCTGTGCACGCGCAGTTGAACCAGATGCTGCGACTTCTACCCGGGAACTGACAAGGTCAGCTCCTGCTCCTAGGGGCGTGGTTCGGTCTATAGTGACGAAGGTGTCGCAGTCATCGTACAGTGCCAGCTCCTCTTCCACTGCACTCTTCTTTCTTAGCCTCTTCTTAGGCTGTGATGATGCAGATTTGTCGCTGTTGTGTTTGGAGCGCTGCTCACTGATGACAATGCCCTTAAGTGGTCGGGACATGTGAGCAGCCTCTTCATTGTCCGATGAGGAGTCGGAGTCTATCGGAATGGCTCTCTTTCCGGCTCTTTTCCTGTTGCTGATCAGGACTCCCTCCATGTCATCATCATCATCTGCATTATCATCATCATCATTCCTCTCCTTTCCCTTGGCCATGCTATCGGAGGCCTCACCACCAGCCTTATTAGAAGGGGCCTGGCTTGATGGTTCATCGGCAGTGTCCTCAGCATTGATAGGGTGGCCCTCAGCAGTCTGGGTCCTCTCGGAAGAGTTACCAGACTGATCATCATTAGGCCGGGTTGCCACTGGTTTCTGTGGCGGGGCTCTCTTCTTCTTACCCTCACT